GGGATGATAGTCACTTTTTCTATACTTATGCCCCACCTTTACACACTCTCTTATCGCATAATTAATTTGTGCACTAATATTAGTGTTTCTTATGAGTCACAACACACCAAACCATTTTTATTCTTTTGACAACACCAAACCAAAATTGGTAAAAAGGAATAAATCATGACACATGATAGAAAAAATAGAGAAACGAGTTTCATAAGGAACTACTTGGTATCAAAATAAGATGAAATCTACTAACTACAACCCACAGTTTTCACATTTGCACCAAAAAAAGTAAAATCAAACAATCCACAGTTTTAGTATGATCCCTAAATTTCGTCACATAATTTACTTCAAAACACCTCATTCACCCAAACTATAATAAGGAAAGATCCTATAAAAAGTGCACCATTTCTTTGCTTTCATACCCACTTAAAACTTTTCCCTCCAATTCCTGCAAATTCAATGCCTATCCCAAGAATTCAGTTAAGCCACAATGGCGGGAGCATACCCGTTTTAGGGTTCGGTACCGCACCCGACCCACCGGTTGCGGCAGAGATTACCAAAACTGCCGTCCTCGCGGCCATCGAGGCCGGTTACCGACATTTTGACACCGCTTGCCTTTACTATACGGAGCAACCTCTAGGAGAGGCCATTGCTCAAGCAATTAAGCAAGGTTTGATCACGTCTCGTGATGATCTCTTTATCACCTCTAAACTCTGGTGTAGTGATGGACACCGCGACCGCGTGGTCCCAGCGTTGCAAGCAACTTTGAGGTACATTAGGTTTTAAATTTTAAATTATGAGGGAGCTAGTTCCTCATTACGAGGAATACTTTTGTTCTTCGTCATGACATTTAGAAAAATAATGTGATGTTTTTCACTTGTGGGAACTGCTTACGTGTAATGAGTGGAACTCTCAAATCTTGACACATACCCCATGAGGAACTCTCACAATGAGGAACATGGAATTCCCCTTAAATTATGCTCTAACTATTTAGTTAGCTTGTTTGCATAGGATATATTTTGTGTTAGCTGGTTAGAAATTTTATGTTGCTAATAATAGTGTTAGGGTTAATTCGTAATACGAGTATTATATATCTTTAATTCTTTAATTTACTGTTATCACGTTAACTCTGATTAACGGATAACATGTTATAATTGTAAAACTATGTAACTATCCATATCGCTAGTATGGTATATTATTTAGTTTTTATTTCAATAAAAATTGCTTGTTAAGTGTTTGATGAAATGTCTAATTGAAGAGCTAACAGTGTACTCTCTTTTATGATTTAGGAAGCTGAATTTGGATTACGTTGATCTGTATCTATTCACTGGCCGGTGAGCTCGAAGCCGGGGGTGTACGAATACCCAATAAAGAAGGAAGATTTTATGGCGATGGATTACAAGTCAGTTTGGAAAGGTATGGAAGAATGCAAGAAACTTGGGCTAGCAAAGTCCATAGGAGTTAGCAATTTTTCGCGCACAAAATTGGCTCAAACATTATCATTTGCTACCATTCCTCCTGCTGTTAATCAAGTACACTTTCAACCCAGTAATTCAAACTTCAAATCTAAAGCATACTGTATAAAATATATACTTTGATATTGAAATTTATTTCATAATTTTGGTATGTAATAGGTTGAGGTGAATCCGAGTTGGCAACAAAAGGAGATGATAGAATTCTGCAAGGCTAATGGCGTTCTTGTAACGGCTTACTCGCCCTTAGGTGCATTTGGGACATTCTATGGCAGCAAGAATGTCATGGAATCGGATGTCTTGAAAGAAATAGCCAATCGACGAAATAAATCTGTAGCTCAGGTACTTAAACAACACCTATATTATACTCAGCCTGTCTGGAAGTACTAGTCATGTTCGCATATATATATACAAATTGATTATGCGTCGAATAATTGTCATCTTTCCTAAAACATTAGTGATTTAAAGGGTATATTTGTATAATCATGGAAAGCGTATCCTTTATAATTAAGGGTTGTTGGAACAATATGAGAGCAAAACCTATTTCGGACAGAGGAAGTATCATTTTGAATTGTTTGTTCATTGTTAAATAATGTTTCTAGATAAGTAAATGATTTGATTATGGATACCAAACTAATTCATGCAGGTGTGTTTGAGGTGGGGAGTGGAGCAGGGGATCGCGGTGGTGGTAAAGAGTTTCAACAAGGAAAGAATGAAGCAAAACCTCGACATATTCGATTGGGAATTGAGTGCTGAGGACCGTGAGAAGATCAGAAGAATTCCACAATATAGAGTGTGTAGAGGATTAGATTATACATCTAATTTTGGTCCTTTTGTAACAATTGAGGAGCTCTGGGATGGAGAGATCTGATTTGAGTAATGAATGTTTGTAATATGATGGACACAATCACACAAAGCTCTCTATGAAGCATTACCAAGCTATACTTGATTTAGCTGGGTTTTTTTTTATTTTTTATTTTAAATTTCAAGTTTTGTTTGATTTTTTAATTTTGGAAGATTTTATGTGGTTTAACTAAGAGAGAGTAACAAAAGGACATTTTAAATAGACGGAACTTTGTTCGTAACTTCGTACAATCGTAAATCTTGGATATACTACCCTTACGGGTTTAACAAACTAACGAAGGTGTCATCTACTAAATTTAAAGCGTAATTTTGAATATTTATTTTTTTTTTTAGAAATTTTTTGAATATTTATTAACAAAGTGCAACAAATCTTAATTATCGTTAATGTTTTTATTACGTGCAGATACATTGAAGAAGCTTGCAGAGCTAAGGTTGATAAAGTGGCTAGAGTCTCCACTCTCACCAAAGGTCAAGTGGTGGGAAATTGATAGAGTATAAAAATATAAAATATATTTTTGGTCTCAACCATAAACATAAGCTTAACCTTTTAGTTGAGTTGGTCCTCTAACAGAAATATACCATGAAGCCTAAAAACCAAAATAAAAACCAATATCTCTCACATGCGTAAAAATCTGATTGATTATGTAATCAATCATAATAACATAATACTAAAACAGACACCGGGATTGACACATGTCTTTCTTGGTGCTATTTTTTCCCTCCAAAACTCTCCCCTCCCTTTTTAGCAAAAATCTTTTATTTTTGGAATATTTGTATAATACAACTATAATAATATATTCTTCATAATCTTATATATTATCTTTATAATAATTGTATTCCTTTTCATTTCATGTTCTATTTATTTAAAATAGTTAAACATAATTTTGAGTTTAATTAAGGGATAATAAGCTATAATTTAGAAGGTTGAAATATGGTGGAGGGTATAAAATAACGGAGCCAAACAATATTAACATTTAAATTACCATTTTAAAGTTGTATAGTAGTGGGGTTCAATGGAAATTCTTTTTTTTTTTATTCACGATGTTGATTTGAAACCTTATGAAATAATAATAATTGAGTTAATTTTTTGTTAAGTATTTTTTATAATAATTTCACCAACAAACTTTTTTTTTTCTTCTAAAAAAATATATTAACTATTATAAAAATAGGTCATAATTACCTCGATCATTTTGGACATATGTCTAGCTATCGTTTAAAAATTTCTAGCCAATACAATATATAATGTCAGCTTTAAGGCTTCTTTTTTTTTTTTTTTTTTTTTTTTTAAAGTTTTTCTACTTAGCTTATTTTTTGGAAGTACATTGTATAGTATATTTTTTTTTGAACTAAATTAATTCATTTATAAAAAGACATACAACATGTACATTGTATAGTTTTTTAGGAATAACATGCATCATTAATATAATATAATGTATACTATATTTAAATATTTTCAACAGAACTAATCAAAAATAAGATATATTTTTTTCTCAATCGCAGTTTTAATAATTTTTGCCTTATTATTTCATCTTTCTTATATGCATTGTATTTGTTTATTATTCCACATTAATTTCTTATTTTTATATTATATCACAAATTAATTATGGAAAGACAGGACTATTACTATCATGCATCGCACGGGCACTAATATAGTTTAAATGATAATAGTATGACCACCTATATATGATTTAAATGAGAATATTTGACATAATATCTTAGTAATGATATTAAATTTTTTGTTTTGTTTACAAAACTGTCAAAACATATAGTTTTTTTTACGAAGTATGGCGTAATAATTATAATTTTAATTTGCTACTTTCATACTTGACAGATAAGAAAATCCATTCAACGTAACATACACCTTCCCACGTCTAGTACAGCTAGAAACATATAGACAATCCTAACATAACTCTCCCACATTTATCCATCTTCCAAGTTATTTAACAGCTTTCATCATCATCAAAAACCTCTCATAATTCGATTCATATTCTTTTTTCAAATACAGAGAAAAAAATAATATGGCAGGACATGGTTCATACTCGAACTCGTGGGCGGATCAATGGGATTTTAACAATAATAATGAAGATCAATCCTCTTCTCTTAATAAGAAGGGAAACAGCAACAATGGGAGTAAAACAGGTAAAAGTTTAACGAAGAAATTGTCAAAGAAATTCAGTGAAAGCTTTAACAAGACGAAGGAGGTGTCGGCGAATGGAATGGAGAAGACCAAGGAATCGGTTTCTAAGGGGATGAGGAAGGCAAAGGATTCTACTTCAGGTAGCATTTCTTGGGTTGTTCAGAAATTCCGCAGGAACTCTCACAAATAGTTGTATACATGTACAATCTATTTATTTGTTCTTTTATTGGGTGATTGAATTGATTGACTTTGTTTCGTATTTCATTGTGTGATTGTTGACGCGGTATATTTTTGGTGTATAGGAAGTTACAAAAGGCTGTAATGTAATCGAGATTCGATCTTCAGCATTAATGCTGGAATGACATTTCATGTTTGGGGTTGTGATTGTAAGATTATTGGATTTCAAATATTTGAGACTTAAGCATATATTTTGCATTGATGAATGGATGTTACTTATTGTATGTGTAGTTGTGTCTTTTTAAGCTTGAGGTTTGATCATTGCCAATTATTAGTCTGAAAATAGCATAGGAATATACTCCATTTCCAAATCTAATCATGGGACAGGCCTAAAAATTGGTACAATAGATTGGGCCGCACCTCAGCCTGAAATTATGGCCCAAACTTAGGGAAAATGAGGTTGAGTCTAGCCCATTGAATGTTTTTGTTTTTCTTCTTTTTCTTCAAGTCAAACACAATAGAATTAGCAGGAGATGAAATTGTTGGAGTGCCAACAGAATCAGAACCCGTGAACCTTGCTTCACAATAACTTCATCTTTTACGAGTCCCACTCCTTTGTCGGTAGGCACTTGCATCTGCAATATCATATACTCCACGATCGGTTTGAGTTTGTGTTTTGCACCCAAATTCCATAATGACAGGCAGATTCTTGAGAGAATCATCCATGAGGAAATGTCAGACGAGCAAACACAATGCAATCAATTCCACAATATTTGAGATTCTAGCCACCATCCAGTTCTGACAAGACACCTAACATGACACCATCAATTGTTCACTTCTAAAGTGTTGGCAGGAGACACTGCAGGCTTGTTGCTGATTCGCCATAAGCCAAACTGTTTGCACACAGTTCCTAACTCCTCCCAGATGTCAACAGACATTTGCAACAAAAGAAACAGACAGAAATACAAAAACATAGAAAGAAAGGCATGTCAGGAGATCTACATAGGATAGTTTCGTATTCAGTTGAGGGGCTTATTCGGATCAAAATTTCAAAAGTGAGATTAATTATCTCAAGTGAGTCAATTCTCAACACCTGAGGGTTACATCCTCAACAACGTTGCATTTGTAGCCGTCAAGTTTAAAGCCTTGTCATAGTCAAAGCTCTCCATCCCAAAGCTCTTCAAGTGTCTTAAAAGGCCCTTTCTTTGATAGATAAGGCCAGCCAGTGACCCCTCTACTCTGAGGGATTCCCCTGATTTTTTCATGGTCTTCTTCAGTCAATTCCCAGTCAAAAATCATAAGGTTTTCTTTAATTCTCTCCTTATTGAAACTCTTCACAACTATAGTAATTCCCTGCTCATATGCCCATCTCAAGCATACCTGCAATTCCCAAAGATAAAAGTGACACTTTGAGGGGATAAGGAATGAAGAGAGAGGATGACAGCAGAGATTAGAAGATCTCTGGTATTACAGCGACAATATAGCATTCTGATTACCCCTCTTAAGCCTTTAGGACTGTTTTGGTAAATGGTACTGATAGTGAGTTTGTGTGCACTTTTATCAAAAACAAAGATTCCAACCTCCAACTACGAGTTTCACTTGATCAAGTTCCATCCATCACTGTTTATTTCTTCGAGCTAGTATCAATTATTAAATGATAATGATGATTGATGAAGGAAAAACACATAGTATATAGGAGCACAGTTGCATTACACTCAATTTGTCAGTGAAATTTTCTTACAGTGACTCAAATATACTACCATTACAGCCATTTATCACTGATTACTGAACAAAACCTAAACACCATTTTCCCATTTTCAATCTACTTGACAATTTCTTATTCGATTGAAATTCAAAGGATATTACTTCATAACGTTAAAATACTATAGAAGTCATTAAATTAATATCCAGGTAAATTGTTACGGAGAGCTTTTGGTATATCCATGCAACAAGGCAACAACTTACTTTTAGTTATGATAGATACATAGGTATATGCAGACATCACATTACATGCAATGTACAGAATGTGAACTTTAAATGTAAGGTGTAAAAGGCAAGTACCTGAGGTATAGACTTTCCTTTAGATTTGGCAATCTCCTGAAGCACTTCAGATTCCAATATCCTGTTACTGCCGTAGAAGGTTCCTATGGCTCCTAATGGAGAATAAGCTGTTATAAGAATACCATTTTCCTTGCACAAGTCTATCAGCTTCTTCTGTTGCCAAAATGGACTAACCTCCACCTTTAATTTTCAAATCATGGAAGCCCTAGGTTAGATGATGATCTGACTTTGCAGATATCAAAGGAGATAAAGGCAAGCTCTGAACTACATGCTATTAATCCCAATTCTAACTCTGAGTCCATCATAATGACTCATAGGAAAACAGGAATGTATAAAGAATTTGTAGCGTAGTAGCAATAGCATTAAGACCCTGAAGTAAATAGTAATTGCATAGTTAACAAATAAATTATGTTATTTAGATATGTTAAGATTTCAGGACAGTTATACATGACAAGCGTATTAGTTACGACAATTTATATACTCAGAGATCCTAGAGAACTAGAGGCGTTTACTATATTGCAAGCTTTGATGACATTGAAGCAGTAATACATCTGCCTTCTTCAAGAAAAATTTCAGGTGCAGACTGTACAGTACACCAAAGCATCAAGAGAAGAATAATCATGAAACGTACTTTCAAATCATATGTATTAATCATACGGAATGAACAGCAGGTTGAGACTGCTGTATAAAGTCCAACTTAACTAATTCTTACAAATAAAAATACAGCAGCTTTTAGAGATAAATCATAAGACTCAGGAACACCCCAAAAATAGAAAAAGGTAGCCTCCAGTTGTATCTGTAACACAAAACACCCAATCCTAGAACCATTTTAAGAAGTATATCCAAACCCTTTACAGGTGCACAAAACTATACTGCAGATAAGTTCTCTATACTAAAGATTAATGAAGTCAAGAAATGGACTATTTCCCGTCTCCTAAGGGTACATAATATTAATATAATTACCCTGTAGATGAATGTAAGGAAAGAAACAAGTCTTCTTAATTTATTAATGCTCCTTCTACAGATTCAGGCCCTTTTCTTTTTTGGAATAAATGGAGTTGAATTGAAGTGAGTTGAGCTGAGCTGAGCATAACATAACTGAATTCAATGGAGTTAAACTGAACTGAAAATAGTAATAACATTGAACTAAATTGAGCAAAAGTGAATTAAATTTAGTAGAGCTGAATTGAATTCATCTTAAATAGAGTTAGTCCAAATGGAAAGGAAATTACAGACCTAAAACAGTGATAAATAAAGAGCTACCATTGGGTTGGGGGGGGGGGGGGGGGGTGGGCGCACTTACTTGATTAACAGCAGGTGGGATTTTAGCTATAACCAGAAGATCATTGAGCTTCTTACAGGAAAAATTGCTAACTCCAATGCATTTAGCAAGGCCAAGCTTCTGGCACTCTTCCATAGCGGCCCAAACACCTTGAAAATCCATGGGAAGAAAATCATCCTCCTTTATTGGAAAATCATTTTTACCAGGTTGACAGCTTAGTGGCCAGTGAATCAAATACAAATCAATCCACTCCATTTTTAAATTCCTACAAAAAACACCCCCATAGTAACTAGCCATTCAAAAACTTGAGGGTCGGAGTATGCATATATATGCACTGGGGAAGTCCGATATCATGATGTTTGAAACTGAGTGAACACGAGGAAATTCTAATTTTACCATGTTAGATCTAATAAGAGAATTGTTGCTAAGTTAAACGTTCAAATATGAGTAAATCTTTCAAATTTTCTTTGTCTGATTTGTTTTCCATGATAGTCCCTTTCAATCAAACAAAGATCTATGACAAACTAATCATTAAGCAAGTTAAAACCTAAACACATTCTCTATCATAATCAATTGAGGAGATAACTAGCATGAACGGAGTACATTGGCTACTCCATCTATTACCAGTAATTAGGACGGAATCCTGTCGTGCTTTTACGTGGTGAGACTCTCCACTAACACAAACTCCACAGCTTATGCTTAGCCTATGAAAGGATTTTCAAGCTCCTCAGATATACATTACCATCTATCCAACACTTGATTTTGCTTTAGTTACATCCAATCTACCAAACATTACTTCCTAAGTAGTATATTATATTTTACTATTATTTCCCATTTCTATGGATTTCTAATTTCATTAATGAAAAACCAAACAAGTCAATATCAAAATTTTCATAACTTTGCTTTTCTACAGATATCCATATCGTACTTTGAATTATGGTTTGCTTAATACTTAAAGGCAGTTTTTAACAGAGCACATCTACAAAGTTACATTTCTACACCCACTCCCAAACACCACCTTCATTAGTTAATGCTTGCAACACCTTACTATTACACTATTAACAATTTAACATACTCTAGTTTGACTATATAATAGTTTTTACTCACTAAAAAGTAAAAAAACAAAACTAGGTACATGGAAAAAGTGTGTAATTTCAAAATATCAACTTTGGATACTTCATAACATTAGAAATTCTAAAGTTATAATAGCTTTAGTCATATATGACTATAATAAACTCCGTTGCTACTATATTGTGTTTTTATGGTATCATGTTATACCAACAAAAAATTATATTGATATCAACACAATAAAAATTCTTGTTGGTACTAATGAAAAAGTATTGGTATAAAATTATATCATCAAAACCAATGGCAGATATTCTCTATGGCCAGGGGCCAGACCCCCCATAGGCCAAAATTGTAGTTGTTGTTCTTCATCCCTCCCCCCTAATTTGAGACAAAAATATAACTCGTAATATATACTTGTAACTGTTAATTTGGCACCGAAAAAATTTGTTCAAGACCCGCCACTTATCTAAACACAATTTAGTATCAACATAGTTTATTATAGTCTGATCTAATTAAAGCTATTATAGATAAAAAAAAAAAAAAAAATTCTCCCTTAACATGTTTTTATCGAGAATTAAAGTTGCTAGTAGATAAAATTGTACATGAAAAGTAAAAATGCGGAGTAAAAGTGTTGATAAGTTCAAAGTATGAAGACACGGATGAAGTTCTTGAAGTGACACTCGATAGACGATAATACTACAATATACTCCCTCCGTCTCATATTATAGTTCCTGCTTACCTATTTTGGAGAACCAAAATGCTGTTCGTGTTTCCATTTTTAGATAGTATATAATTGCCATAATACCCACATTTTTTTAACTTTATTCATTGTTCTTCCTAAATTACCCTTGAATTTTCAACTTGTTTTGTACTTTTTTTCCACTATCTCTCTCTACTTTTGTCTATAATTATACTTTTCACCTTTTTTTTATGTACTTTATTCACTTTCTCTTCTTTAACTTTTGTTTATAAATGTATTTTTCACCTTTTTTAATGTACTTCATACACTTTCCCTTCCCATTTCTTAAATTACCGTGAAAAAACACAAATAGAAACTATATATTGGGACGGAGGGAGTATTTTTCACCAATCGTAATACAGTATTACCAAAAACGAAGTACCAACCACAAGAAGTACTACTCTCTCCGTCCCTTTATTTTTGCCCCATTGACATTTTTAGAGTCAAACTTTGAAAACTTTGACCGTAAATTATCGTTAATCTATAAAAAATTATTTAGTTATGAGTGGTCTTGTTAGATTCTTCTCGTAGTATATTTTATTAATATCAAGTTTTTATAATTTTTACGTGTATGAAAATAAAGATATAGACGTTTACGCGTCTTGAAGACTGTACACAGTCAAATGGGGCAAAAAAAAAAGGGACAAAAGGAGTACTTGATACAACTCATACAAGTAATACCATAATACATCAATACCCCATGTTAATAAACCACTTACTCCCTCCGCATTTTTTAGTAAAACATTTTTACTTTTTGCACTATTCAACTAATTTGCTTTGACTAATATTAGTGATTTCAACATAAAAATAAAAAAATAAATAAAAAATAAAAATATATGAGTAGTACTTGTTGGAATCGTCTCAAGAATAGATATAATTTTTACACGGAAGGAGTACCACTTATGAAGTACTTCGTGTAACAGTAAAAAAAAATTCCAAAACCCTCTGTATTTGGCCAATCATGCATCCTGATACAAGAACTTTAATTAACATCAACTCGACTTAAATCAGATTGACTAACTCGACAGAAATTTCTTGCGAGGAAGCCACAGTTAATCACATAGCACTTTGGTTAATAAATCAATAACTTTATCTAGTTATCATTACTGTAGGACCTGTTTGTATTAAAAAGGTTATAAATTTATTTACGAAAATGTCATATAATAAACGATAACCGTGCATCTCGGAGATAAACTTGCATTTACCCATTTCGAATCAATGTGATAGAAAGACACAAAACAATGAAAATTAAATTATACCTGAGAGATTTTTGGAGGCCAGGAACAACGAGATTAGGGTGAGCATCACCACACCAAAGCTTAGAAGTGATAAAGAGCTCATCTCTGGATTGGACCAGGCCCAAACTCAAAGCCTCTTGGACCGCATCACCAATGGGCTGCTCCGATTTATACTTATGGGCCGTATCGAAGTGTCGATAGCCCACTTCGATGGCCCGCAACACCGCTGACTTCATTTCATCCGCCGATACCGGAGGATCCACGGCAGTACCTAATCCGATGACGGGGATGCTTCGTTCTCCGTGACTGACTTTGATTTGTGGGACTCGGAGTTGACTCGGTGGAGTTGTCATTTTTGACTGAGTTGTGAGGTGGATTGTTCGTAGTCTTAGTGGGTCAACTGGGATCATATGGTTTCGGAGATTTTTGTTTCTGTGTTTCTTTTGGGAAATTGTCCGATGTCAGATTGAAAGGGTCATTTTTAGACAATTGCATTTCAAACAATCTGGATCTGATTTTTTTTTTATTATTTGATAGGACATTAAAGAAAAATTTTCTTGACAAAGAATTGCTGTTTTTAATAAAATATAAAGTACAACCAAAACCCTTAAAATTTCTCTCTTCTCTCTCTTCAAACCTAGTCTAGTAAACTTAGGGACTGTCATTGATTTTATCGATGGTAAACCCCAAATTCTTTTTCAATTTAATGTTTTCAGTAAATTAAGATCACTAACAGTATATTGATTACAATCAGTCCCTCCATATAGGGTTTAGTCGGTTTCTTAATGGTGGGCTATGTTGCACGGGGACACCTTCTGACCGGTATCCCCCGTCCCCAGAACGTTATGGGTACAGATACGTCTCGGAGATGGCTTGGGGACGTCCCCGGGATGCGTTGACTTTTTGGGACGTTTCTGGGGATGCGCGTGTGGCTCAACGTCGTCCCCAACGATAATTTTGGGCTTTTTAAATTTAAAAAAAATACAACTTACTTATTTAATTTGAGAATGTCGACCCATTTCCTCCAATAATTCACAGTTTTACACTTCAAAACTCACAAATTAGGGTTTTCCATCACATTCTCTCTCTCGGCGGTTAAGTTTGGGCGGCGGCGGTGAGGCTAATCGGCGGTAGTGAAGGTAACGACATCGACGCTTTTCTTCTTCTCTTTCTCACTTTCGGAGTTTCTTCTTCTCTTCTCTTCGAGCTAAGCCTTTGAAAATTTTGGTGTTGTATTGTTGTAGTGTTTACACTTTTATTTTCTTTTTATTTTTATGTTCCTGAATTTTTTTTTGATTTTTTTTTTCTGATTTTACTTATCTTGCACTTATCGTACTTGACATATTTTTCTAATCCGTATTTCCTATTTGTTTTGGTTCGCCCTGTTTACCTTGATGGTAAGCAGTGTTGACTATTTTCAGATGCAGTCAATAAATGAGCATTTGGAGTCTCGGGATATTCTTCACCTAGTTTAGGAATATTGGTCGTTGTTTCTATTTTTGAGTACTCATAACATTGGTTACTATTTTTATTAAGTATTAATAAAGAAAGTGTTTGAGTTTCCGCTGCGAAGTTGTGGTTTTAATTAGTAGTTTGAGTAGCCTTGCGTAATCACGTACGCGACTGTAATATGCCTAAGTCTATCTCTATGGTATAATTATACGTATTATACTAGTATTTCTGTAAAGGGAGATTTGGGGGTGTTACATAAATATTGGTTGAAGGTGGCCCAAGTCCACTGGTTGCCTCGTATATTTATGTTTTAATATAGACAAAACTGGTTTGATAGAAACATAAAACACAATGACAATAACTAAGAAGCAAATGGCAATAATAATTAAATAATGACAAACAAATGAGAACTTTACAACAATTAGTCAATACTAGGTTGGAATTGGGCGTAACGGATATTATCTGGCCCAATTCCAAATATATTATACAAGTCCAAATTTATTTCAATCATTACAATATTTTAAAAGAATAAACACATTGACAATAATATCCATATAATGACAATAATTAACAAGCAAATGACAGTAATAATTAAACAATGACAAACAAATGAGAATTTTACATGCATCAAGATAAAACAATTAGCTAATACTAGTTAATCTGAAAATAAAGGTCTTTAAGAGTTAAGATTATGTTCAAGTTTTTATTTACCATAAAGAAGCTATAATCTGAAAATTTTATACATACTCCATTTGTTTATATTTCCAACAGTTCATAAACAAAAAATGTCATAATAGTCACAATAGTGACACTTTCCTAAAGCACAAATGTCACAATAGTTGCGACACACTATAAAAGAAAGGTTTTATGGTGAAAATGGTATTAATACTTTTATATGAATCTCATTGCCTATTTGCTTAATTTCCTAACAATTAACCTCATTTTAACTTTATTATATCATGCTTAAGTATGATAAAATTTGTGTTGCAACTATAAGTAAACGAAGAAAAGCAAATGTTTTAAATATATAAATTAACATAGTACATAAATTAAGAAAGTGTATACTAAACATAATTCTACGTTGTACACTATATATAGTAAGATAATTTTTTATTTAATAATTGTACTTTATGGTGTACATAATTCCAATTTAAATATTGTACTTAACATAATCTTGAATTTTAGGTATTCCATTTTAATTATTAGTACCTAACATAAATTCCTTCAATTAACTATTTTTTACATACAAATTTACTGCTATAAATGAATTATTCATTGTCAACAAATTTTACATAAATGTATGTCGACACATGGTTTGGGGTTTAGTGTCATAGGGTTTAGGATTGAGGGTTTAGGGTTTAGCATTTAGGGTTAAGGGTTTAGGGTTTGGGGTTTGTGGTTTTGTGGTAAGGGGTATTAGTAGTGGTTTGGGTAGAATTTAATGGTTTAGTGTTTACAGTCATATTCAAAATTTTATTGTCATTGCCTTTATTTTTATTGTCATTTAATTCATTTTATTGTAAAATTTTTGTTATTATTCTCAGTAGGCTAGATATATAGTATACTTATTATTACATATGATGACATAAGGGGTAAATGTTAAAAACTTTAACATTAAGATCACATAATTAATTAGATTTATGTGTTGTTGACAATTAATTGGTCATATTTTGATTTATGAAATAACAATAAACTATGAAATAACTATATTAAACTTCAATTCAATTAAATACTCTATGGATGAATCGTATATTAAAACCCTAAACTGATTTAATAGAAACATATAAAACAATGACAATAATACAAATACACTGACAATTATTAAGTAGAAACTTGCAATAATAATTAAACAAATTATAATTTTACATTACAATCCAACAATTACTGGAATTGGGCCAAGTCCAATGGTAGAATATGGACCAACATTGATATTATTCGGCCCAAACTAATATTACAGGCACGTCGACAAAATGTTACGCATAAGAATACTATAAGATTATTATAAAAGATTAACCACATTGACGAAGCAAATGACAATATTATTACACAAGGATTAAACAGTTTTTTAATAGGTTGGACTTTGGCTAATTTTGCTAGTTAGTTCATTCAAGGGCTATTTCGTATTTATGCTTCAACCAAACTGATATTATATGGCCAAGTCCATAAATAATATTAAAATATAACAATGTTATAGAAAAATGTAAACAACTGACTATAATAAAAATACAATGACAATAATTAATAACCAAATGACAACATTTTGAAAAATTTGACAATAAAATAAATGGTATGTTTTATGGGGAAAATGGTATTACTACTGTTATTTAAATCTGATGGCCTATTTATATAAATTAGAAATGAAATTAGTATATTAACAAACGTATATGCTTCATATACGGTTATCTTGTACACTTTATGTCACGTTATTTATGATATTTAATCATTAAGTGTACTTAAAGGTGTACATAATTCCAATTTCAAAAACAGTACTTAACAACATAATTTTGTAATTAGATGTCATCATGTTACAAATTTTAACTGTCATATTCACATTTTTTTACTTAGATGTCATGTTGCAAAATTTAACTGTCATATTCACAATTTTACAGCTATCAAAGATTTATTCTAGTCAAAATATATGTCATAAATGAATGTTGAAACATGGTTTGTGGGGTTGTAAATGAGCTTAGCCGAGACATACTATATTGTTCATGTTTAAATTCATTTAATTTAGGCGAGTCCGAGCACAATCCCAGGCTTTCAAGAAAGCTCAAAAATCTGTCCAAACTCATCTCATTTAGTACTCTATATGTTCGCAAACGATTCGTGGACGGCTAATATATTAAACAAGTTGATAATCGAGTGTTTCATGAACGAGCTTAATAATAAACAAGCTTCTCTAATAAACAAGCTTTGTAATCTCAATATCTCAAAATTCGCAAATTAAATGTTACATATATACATAAGATTTACATCTTAATTACTTAAAAACTTAAGAATTAGATTAACACTTGTGAATAAATCAATAATTCATGAATATAAATAAAAGAGTAGTTCCCAAACATAAATAAACGAACATATCTATGGTCGTGTTGAAGTTCATTTATTATAACGAGCTTCAAAATTTGCTCAATCTCGACTCATTTATCAAATAAACTAACATGAACGAGCTTCAACCGAGCTTAAAGGTTTTAGGGTTGGGGGTTTAGGGTTTAGGGTTAGTTTAGGGTAGGGTAGGGTATAAGGTTTAGGGATTAGGGATTGGGGTTTAGGGTTTGGTGTTTGGTGTTTGGGCTTTATGAGCAATGGGTCGTGGGTTTAGTGGTATATGCAAGTTGTCATATTTTAGTTTTTATTGTCATTGTTAAATTATTTATTGTCTAGTCTCCATAAATATAGTAATTGTCATATTGTTATATATTATTGTCATTTAATAGTTTTTCTTGTCAATATAAAAGTAGTGATCTATTAATTAAGTTTTAAATAACATTAAGAATACATAACTAATTATTTTAATGTGTTGTTGACATTTGGTTAACATATTTTGATTTACTTCCATTTACTCTCCTTCATCCCTATGTATTGTTATCACACAATCACTCCCCTTCATCCCTATTTATGTCCTTCATGAGCAAAAGTTGGATAAACTTTGAAGTTCTTGGTCAATGACTTCTTATTGTACAAGATATAATATATATATATATATATATATATATATATATATATATATATATATTCACGTGTGATATTATTTAATGAATTACAAAAAGAGTTCTCCTTGTGTCCCCATAATACTTAAGACAATTACCATTTTTGTTCATCTCATCCCAAAATACTTAACACGTTACTAAAGTGGAATGGGAGCACTAACAAAATAGTCTTGGTCCTATAATCACTTAACCACAAAACCTAATTAAACCTATACTTGCCTTCATGAAAAATTAAAACACATCTAATTTGAGGTGTTTAGGATTGAGGGTTTAAGGTTTAGGGTTTAGCATTTAGGGGTAAGGAAGGGTTTAGGGTTTGGGGTTTTGTGGTTTGGGGTATTAGTAGAGGCTGGGGTTGGGTTTAGTGGTTTAGAGTTAACGGTCAAATTGTAAATTTTATTATCATTGTTTTAATCTTTATTGGGTATTTAATTCATGTTTGTTGTAAAGTTTTTGTTATTATTGTTAGTAAGCTAGAATATAGTATTTTGATTGTCATATTGTTATGTATTATTGTCATATAAATAACCATGAAGTTGTTTAACCA